ACAACCCTGGGAGGTAGATGCTATTGTTATCCACATTTCACAGTTGAGGAAACTGAGGCAAACTGAGGAAACTAAGTTAAGTGATTTGCCTAGGGTCACACCACAGACACTAGTAAAGCGTCTGAGGCTGGATTCAAATTCAGGTCTTCCTGACTCCAGGCCCAGGGATCTATCCACTGGGCCACCAGCTGCCTCAGAATTCCCCCTCACAACAGCTTTGATGAGGGTTGGAGAAGGCTTACACAGCCCCTCATCAAGGCCCATTCTGCTTTAGGAGTTGACTTTTCATGATGTCTTTTTCCTTTTCCATCACAAATATGTTCCCTTTTCCATTTCCATCTATGAACCCTCCCCTATAACAAAGAAAAAGTTAAGCAAGATCAACAACATGGTGACCTTCAGCAACGTTCTGTTCCTATCTCTTCTCTGGAGCCAAAACTGGTCATTACTCAGGATTTGGGTTTCCATTTTGACCATCCTTGTTTCTGTTGTTCTCCTGGTTCTGCTTGTTTCCCTTTGCATCAGTTCATACAAGTCTTCTCGTGCTTCTCTGAATTCCTCATAGCCATCATTCCTTACCATGTAACTATATCCAGTAGCATTCATAAACCACAGGTTGTTTAATTTTTCCCCAATCAATAGCCTGGAACAGCTTGGATTATTAGCAAATTCTTCCTTATATTGAACTGAGATCTCCTTCCCCAGAATTCCCACCCATTCCCTCTAGTTCTGCCCCCTAAGGGCAAACAGAATAATCAATCAGTCAATAAACATTTATTAAGCACCTACTATGTGCTGAGCTGCACAGGTTCTAAGTGCTGGGATATGGAATACGGAGTAAGTTAGCAGGATGCCCATCTGATATATTAGAACAGGTAGTATGCCCTGTTCTGTCAGCTAAACAGCTCTCTTGCCACAAGTCCGGATGAAGGAGAAGGAGCCCTGAATTGTAGTCAGACTTCAGTTCCAGTCCTATTTACTAGCTGGAGGAAATGACTTTGGGCAAACATTCCTCTTCTGATTTCAGTTTTCTCATTGGTGCAGGCAATAGTACTCGCACCACTGTCCTTCCCAGGGTTCAGTCCCACTTCCTACACTGACCAGGGTTTTCTGACTGGGCTTTGTAGATTTTCAAGCCTAGATTCTCTTCCCCTTGGGATTCTGGGGGTGGATGGAGAAGAGTACAAAGCAGGCTGGCAACCAAGGGCCTGAGAGCTGGGAAATCCAGGTTCCATCCTCAGCTCTGTATGGCCTGAGGCGTTGAGTTTCTCTGGGCCTGTCTTCTCACCAGTTAAATGGAGCTGATAATAAATTGTGCCCTGCTCACCTCATGGGGCTGGGGGAGAGGGACTTCATTCCCAGGAAGGTGTCCTAGAGTTCTTTCTGTTCAGGAATCTGAGCTGTTGGACACTAGGAAAAACATGTCCATGAGGAGCTCACAATCTAGTGGGGTAGGGGAGGGTAATAAGGCCGGAGAAAGAAGCCTGCCAGAAGGCAGCATGGAATAGGAGAGGGCTAGACTTGAAGTTGGAAAGACCTGGGTTCCGATCCTGTCTCAGATACCAGCCCTTTCACCCTAGGCTAGGCCTCAGCTTCTTCGACTATAAAGTAAGGGGGTTAGATCTGATGACCTCAGAGGTCCCTTTCAGCCTTCAATTTAATGACTCTATGATTCCCCAGACATGCAGTCAGAGAAGCCTGGTCATAGCCCAGGTTGGGAGGCTCTGCCATTGGCTGTGTGGCCTTCACCAAGTCTTTTCCTTACTGGGTCTCCATTTTTGCGTCTGTAAAATGAAGCTGTACTTTCTTTAGGCTTTCTCTAGGTGCCTCCCAGCCAATGATCTCTCTGGACTCTGAGGCAGTATGGATGAGGTCAGGGCCAAATGGAGGGTCCGTGTGCTCAGGGCTGGAATCCAGAGAAGGCAAAGTTCAATATGGTTTGGGGTTGGGGGAGGCTTTGGAGAGAAGGCAGTATCTAAACTGGGCCTGGAAGGATCTTGGATAGATCAGGAGTGACAGGGGGGAACTCAGGAGGGAGAAAATTTGGAGTGTTCAGGAGTTCACTGGTACCTTTGCCTGGCAGCCTGTCTAGGGCAAAAGTTTGATAAGTGGTAAGATGTAAGTTGATAAAAGATAAGGAGAATGTGGCCAGGATGCAGCCTGAATGAAAGCACTGGTGATCAAAGTAAAGCTATTCAGATAGGAGGAACTGGGCCCGGCCCAGTGAGGGCCCCACTCAGACTCTCCACTCTTCTTCAGGACACAGCTGGGCAGGAGCGATACCGGACCATCACCACGGCCTACTACCGAGGGGCCATGGGCTTCATCCTCATGTATGACATCACCAATGAGGAATCCTTCAATGCTGTCCAGGACTGGTAAGCCACATGCTCACCTGGGCTCCTTGGGGACCTGGCATTTCTGGATGCCAACTCTGGTAGCAAGCTGGTTCTGCCCTCTTCTCCAACCCTGACCCACCTCCTTCCTGTGCCTGCTAGGTCAACACAGATCAAGACGTACTCATGGGACAATGCACAGGTGCTGCTTGTGGGAAACAAGTGTGACATGGAGGATGAGAGGGTGGTCTCCTCTGAGAGGGGCCGACAGCTAGCAGATCACCTGGGTGAGTGAGGAGGCGAGGAGGCCCTGGGCTGAGGGAGTCGAGGCAGGAGATGGTCAAATCTCAGTTCCCAAATTTGCCACGAGACCTCACTGAGCAGGCGATTTCCTTTCTAGGCCTCCTTTCTCACATCCAGGAGGCTGGATTCTAGGGTCTCCTCTCAGATGTGGTGCAGCAGGAAGGGCACTGGTCTTCCAGTCTAGACTTGGATTCCAATTCCAGTTGGAACATTGCACAGCCTTAAGTCACTCTTCCCTGCTGGATCCATTTTCTTCCATTCAGAGTGTGTTGGACTGAACTATGGGCTGGGTCTTATCCTTCATGACCTGGACCCCTCTTGCAGGCAGTCTGGTGAAGCCTTGGACCTCTTCGCAGAAGAATGTTTTCAAATGCATGGAACAAAATACATAGGATTATAAAAGAAACTCACTGTATTGAAAGTTATCAAAATATTCAAAAAAACCACTCACAGATCTCCTTAAGTCTGTCTTTGCACTCTTGGGGGACTCTTGGATCCGTTTAGATCAGAAGCCCCCTCAACTAAATTATTTCAAGGTCTTTCAGCTCTGGCATTCTGGGATTCCATAGTCCCTTTTCTTAGGGGTACAAGGAAGGTCACAGGGCACTAGTCATGGCCCCCAAATCTGCCTAGCCCAGTCCTGTTAGGTGGGAGTGAGGAGTAATGGGGAACCAGTTATCCCTACATGTTGTTCCAGGCTCAGTTTTCTTTTTCCTCTTCTTCTGGCCAGGATTTGAGTTCTTTGAGGCCAGCGCCAAGGACAATATCAATGTGAAACAGACCTTCGAGCGACTGGTGGACATCATCTGTGAGAAGATGTCAGAGTCTCTGGACACAGCCGACCCCGCCGTGACTGGAGCCAAGCAGGGCCCCCAGCTCACAGATCAACAGGCACCCCCACACCAGGACTGTGCCTGTTAAGGCCCTGGGCCCAGGCTCTGTCCACTCTTCAGCGGTCACTAGCATTCCCCGTCCTGCTCTCTCACCCCAGATGGGTCACCCTCCTTGTGTGCCCCTCACTCCCTCACTCCAGGGCCATGAAGCCCAACGTGCACGGTGAGAGTGGGGCCCAGCGGGGAAGGATGAGCCTAATACGTCTTTCCAGTCTCCTCCCTCCCTCAGTCTCTTCAGAGCTCTTAGGAGCTTCTATTCCTATAACTTATTTAATTTATTAAGCTATTTATTTATTTAGAGACTTGTTAAAGGGACCACGCCCCACTTGCTGAAGCCCATCTCTGCATCCCCAATTCTATTCTTCCCCTCTTCATACCTCCATCTCCCTTCTTCCCAATAGGCTGCTCTCCTGGGCCCCCCACAAACCCCACTTGTGAGATGTTTCCCCCATTCCCTCCCAGCTGCAGGGTCCCTCCTTACCTCAGTTCCTTGTAGAAATCCATCTCCCTCTTCCTCTTGCTGTCTTCCTCCTTGTACATATGTGAGACTGAACCCTGTACATAGGATTAGTGAGTGGTCCTGGTGTGTTCCATGCTGTGCTGACTTGTGCCCATGGATTTCTTGTGTGTCAGTTTAACATCACTTCTAAAACCCAGCATTTCAGGGCAGAACACTAAGGGACAGAGGGGCCAAGCATCAGCAGCCTCATAGCAAACTGCTCCTCCTACTGTCTCTGGGGGTAGATGACAGAAGCAGGCTGGGTGAACCTGAAGCTGGGAGCCCCCAACTCTTCCTGTGACCTCTCCGGGCCTGCTCAGATTTGCACAAGATGACGGGCTTGGGTCTCACACTTGAGAAGGCCTGGCCTGGCTGCGCTGCTGGTGCATTTGGCTTAAATTACTATGAATACCTTGAACAGGGGTGGAGAGTGGCCCCACCCAGCCCAATTCCCCTTCTAAGTCCTGGGACTTTTTTTGTTTTTTTGGGGGGTGGGGGACACACACACCAAGGAGCATGTTTCCTTCAGGCCATCTGCTCCCATGTGTTTGTATAATTGTTTCATGTGGAGAATGTGAGTTAGTGACTGTATCAGCAACCAAACTCAAGTATCCCTTCTTTTTCATTTTTTTCTTGGGGGGGAGGGTGTCGTGGGAGTGAGGGGTGTGTGCCCACGCAGATCCCTGAACGTTAACCTAGCAAAAGCTCGTCTTGGTTGTGGTTTTCATGATGACCTTCTGGGGACAGCTACACTGTACTGTACAGATGTGACAAGTGTCAAACACAGGCTGTTTCCTAAATCACTGTATCACAGAAGCGTTGTGAGAAAATAAAACCCTGCTGAGCCCGGTTGGCTGGACGTGTGAAGGCTGCTGTCCCCCCAGCTCTCAGTTACTCTCCCTCATGAGACAGTAATGAGATCTGGTGTTCTTGGCTCTTCATCCAAACACATGAGCACACAACTGAGTCTTAAGTACAACCCAACTGAATTAGAATCTTTATTAGCCCAAGTTATCTTCCATTCCAGAACAAGACTCCTACCTAAGGCTAAGATGAGGGGTCCAAGGGGCTCAGACCTCCCCCCCCACTTCCCAAGTCTGGTCCTGCCCACCTGCCACCATCCAGCCACAACGAGCCCTTGGTCTTAGCCTGGTCAAGAGCTGAGGGCTGCCAGGATTTTTACTTTTTGATCTGGGGTCAGGGAAACACAAGGCCAACAATTTATTTGTTCCTTCTCTGGCCCTTAATCCCAAGGACTAATCTATACATCCTGGAGTCCAGTGTTACATGGGCTGGCCTAATCATGCTGCTTTCACAGTAGGCACTGGTCTCGTAATGATGTGCAAAGTGGGCCCCTCCATGCCAGCCAGCCCCTTCAAGGGGCTCTACTGCTTTGATCCGTAAGGTGCATCGAGATTCCTGGTTACTCCTCTCCACAGAAGTGGGGTCCCACTTAGAATGATGTGGCTGAACAGACCCAAGGCACGAGTCCATTCTGCTCACATTTCTCTCTATCTCCTGAATACAGTAAATCAGTTAAGAAGTTAAATGGCAATCTTTGATTAGGCTTCTAGGGTCCAGTTGTGTTCAGACAGCTGGTGGCGACTGCCTTGCTCCAAGCCCAGTCCCAGATGCCCATGCATGGGCCTGCTGCGATACCACTGCCAAGTGCTTGGCCCCTCCTAGGGTCTCAGTCAGTGCGGGAGGCAAAACCCATGCAGCCGGGGAGGCGGTCCTGTGGGGGGTTAGAGCAACACAGAGCCAGTCACAACTCCATCCATCACATGCAGCAGCACTCAGTAAGGGGGGTCCTTGCACCCCTTCACTGATGCTGCCTTATGGGGGGCATATCCCACCCCACCTAGAGATCACTGAGGCCAAGCCTGTCATTTCGCAGATGGAAGATGGAAGCTGAGAGACAGGATTGTACCCAGAGTCTTCTGCCCTATATGACAACCTTCCCCCAGCCCATGCCAGTGTTTCAGGTGCTAAGCTGAGCTGGGAGGAGGGAAAGGGGGCACTGTGCTGCAGCCTATCCTCCCAGCCCTGCATAATCTCCTCCACCTGAGTTCACTGAACTTGAAACCTTGCGACAGAAAAGCCCAAAGGTCCACATGAGGCTCCAAGAGCCCTGACTTCCCCTCCCATATTCCCTTGGCCAGGCTCTGTGGAAAGGCCAGTTTGGTCTTCCTAAGGATGGGCCTGAGATAACCATAGAAGCCCTAACTCAACAACTGATGATGGAAAATGGGAGGAGTCAGGGCCAGTCGGCCCAGGGAGCAGGGGATGTCCAGGACTCACCCGGTGCTTTAGGTAGGAGAGGTAGGTATCCCAGCCTAGCGTCACGCTGTTCACGTACATCACTCGGTAATGGGCAGGCACATAAAGGAAGTTCACCAGCTGAGCTGATGGCCACACACACCAATCAGCCTGGGGGGGAGGGCAGAACAGAGTTACATCTCTAAGAAAACTGCTTGTCAAAGGCTGAACTGCATGCCTCAATCCATGAGCTGCCCCCAAGTTGGGCCATCTGGAATAATCCTGCTCTAACAACAATCCTGGGACCTTTGACATGTTAAGAATCACTTCCCCTCAAAGCAACCTCATGACCCAGATCCTATTACGTCCATTTGAGGAGATCACTAAAAAGCAGAGACTGGCCCAGGGTCACACAACTAGGCGCAGTCAGGATTCACTCATGTCTGTCTTCCTCAAACCCCCAGCAATGCTTCCCCTCCACCAGGCTGATCTGAAGGGCAGCCTGTATCAAACGGAGTTCAGTCAGGCCCCTTTCCACTGGGTCTAAGACAACAGCAGAAATCAGAGCAAGAAAAAGGGCCAAGGGTTCAGCCTGGGAAAGTCACTGCAACTCTGTTAACACTCACTCAGGACCCAAAAACTCTATGCCACCTGGTTTGTTTCCCATGCATGCAAGGCAAAGAAAAAGATCTGCTTACTGCCACCTCCAAGGACCCCAAAGCAGGAAGCATCCTTAAAGACCATGCCGTAGAACCCCTCAATTTACACGGTAGGAAACTAAAGCCAGAGGTAGAATGACTTGTCTCCAAGGCTTAGACTTGGGTGGCCAGCTGTTCTCCAACTGAACCCAGAAGGCTTTGCAAAGTACAGAAAATCTGGACAGCCCAGGGCTGAAGAAGCAGCAACTGAGTGAGCCCCAACCCTGTGGAGTTCAGGGCTCCACTAAGATGATAGTGGAGAGAGGAGACCTGGGGGTACAGTTGATGGCACATGTCAGTTTAGTTTTGATCTGACATCAAGCAGTGTGGTACAGTGTCAAGAATACTGGATTTGGAACCAGAACATTGTACACAGTAACAGCAACATAGGGCAATGACTGACTTTGATAGACTTAGCTCTTCTCAGCAATGCAAGGATCTAAGACAACTCCCAAAGTCTCATGATGGAAAGTGCTATCCACATCCAGAGAAAGAACGTTGGAGTCTGAATGCAGATTGAAGCAGACTGTTTTCACCTTTTTATTTTCGTGGTTTTTCCCTTTTCTTATTGCTTTTGTCACAACATGCCTAATGTGGAAATATGTTTAACATGATTGCACATGTATAACCTGTATCAGACTGCTTGCCATCCTGGGGAGGGAGACAGGCAGGGAGAGAGGGAGAAAAATTTGGAACACAAAATCTTTTAAAAAAAATGAATGTTGAAAACTATCTTCATATGTAATTGCGGAAAAAAAACTATTTACTAACAACAACAAAAAAAGGAATAGTGGATTTGGCATCAAATGACTTGTGTTCAGATACCAGCTTGACTTCTCACTAATTCCTTTGAGGGGTCTGAGACTCAGTTTCCTGCTCTGTAAAATAAGGAGGCTGAAATAAATTTTTCTAAGGGACCTTTGAGCTCTAAAACCCATGATATCCCTCTTACTAGGGGATTATCAGGAAAGAGGACAGCCATGAGGCTAGGGGCCATGGTAAGGTTACCTTGTAGAACTCCCAGAACTTGTCCTGCAGTTCCTGGTAAGTACGTTCGAGGCTCTGGCCCTCTAAGCAGCCCAGCCCTGGAGCCAGAGAAAAAGGGCAGAAAAGGTTAGAAGAAAAGGGTACACATGACCAGGAAGCCCCAACACTGGGAGACACCCTAGCATGGGACAGGCAGGCCCACTCCCAGAGAGCAACTTGGGAGGGGTGTATAGATGGGGACTGGCTTCTAGAGCAGCTTCACACTTCCCTCTGGGCCCACAGAAATCCTGCTCAAGTTCTCCCAGAAGCCTCTTTTTTTCCCCAGAGTAGGTGCTTAATGAGCAAAGGACAGGAGGAGGAAGAAGAGTTGCCTGGAGGCAGCCTGAACCCCAGAAGAGGAAGGAAGAGGGCCGGGGGGGGCCCAGGCCAAGCAGAATAGTCTTTGTAGTCCTCCCAACCACAGATGGTTAACTGAGGAGAAGAAAAGGAACAGACCTCTCTAGTCTCCATGGAAGCCCTGAGAAGATGCCTGCCATCCCCACCACCCAGCTAAAGCTGCTCTCAGGAATGAGTTCCCAATGTTTTCTCAGTCTTCAGCCTCCCACTCTGAGTCTTAAAGTATCTCTCACACAGGATTATCCAGATTACCTTTCTTGTCACAATCCCCTCACCTAAACAGCTGCATAACATCCCCCTTGAACCTCTTGGGAGCCCCAGTTTCTCAGAGCTATCTGCATGGGATCATGTGGACACATTCTCATTCATTTTCATTTTCTCTCTCTCTTTCTCTCTGTCTCTGTCTCTCTCTCTGAGTAGGCAGCCTGAGGGCCTGGATCCCCAGGGGCTACAGCCCCTATAAAGAAGTGCCACACTTACTGTGGCCACCCAGCTGACTCTAGCTCTGCTGCAGCTCACAACTCCTGAGTTCTCCAGATCCCCCAGCCTCAACCTCCACTCTAGGAGAAGGGACTGCTGGCCAGTGCTACCATGCAGGGCTCACATTCTCCTTGGCTATGGGCTTGAGGTCAATTTCTCCCCTTGGGTGATGGCTAAAGGAACCCAAAACCACAGAAGCACAGAGCACAAACTGGTCAGAGAGAATACACTCCTGGCAGGCTCTTGAGCCCCCTTAGGGTCCTTGAAAGCCAGCATAGCAAAGAGAACAGGCAGGAGATAATGCCCCGCCACCAGCACACACACACATAGCCATCTTTCTGCAACTCTGATTCTTCTCCAAAGCTCCAAATGGAGTCCCTTGCTCTTTTCACAAGCATTAAAGTGCAATTCAAATGCTATTATTATTATTATTATTATTGTTTCTATTTCTACAAAATCAGACTCCTTGCCCTGTCTCTCTACATCCCTTTCTCCCTTTCATCCTTCCCATCTTGTTAGACTAATTTTCCTTACTCAAAGTTCTAGTCTTGCACACAGTAGGTACTTAACAAATGACTGTTGAAGTGAATTCAATCTAGCCCTATAATTCCTCTATTCAGGAAGCCTTAGGGGTGACTCCCTAATGTCTGGCGAGGACAAATGGAAAATCTAAAACCTTCTACAAGCTGAAGTCCCTCTAGCTTTCTATTCTTGAAAAAAAAAAATTGAGGTTCTTTTCATTTTTTTACATCTCTCCACTGCTATGCCCCCAAACCACACCCCTCATAACAAATGAGTAGCGTCAAGCAAAAAACCAGGCAAGTGGCCGTGTCTGAAAACGTCTGCCTCATCTCACACCTCTTGGGTCAGGAGGGAGGCGGCAGGATTCTTAATTGGTCACTGCTTGGCTCTCAGCCTACCCTTCTCTTTTTCTGTCTCCTACTCCCTCTACATAGCTCTGCATTTCAGTTGAACTAGATGACTTGGCGCCCTGAGTCCCCCACCATGCCCACCTAACATTTCTCTGTCACCATGACTTGGTTCACAGAGCAGGTTGGTTTTAGCCTACTGGAATCCTATGGATCGTCCATGAAGCATCTCTTTATTCAGAAAATACATTTCCTTCTCTGAAAGAACTCAAGAACAAGGTCATATCCCACACATCAATACCTATTTTTTACTGCAGTTATTTGAGTACTTATTGTATCACCCCTAAGATGAGAGCTCTACAACTAGGCCTTACAAATTTTATTTCCCTGGGCAGCTAGGTGGCACCATAGTGCACAGAGCACCAGGGCTGGAGTCAGGAAGACTTCAGTTCCAATCTGGCCTCAGACATTTACTAGCTGTGTGATCCTGGGCAAGTCACTTCACCTGTCTGCCTCAGTTTCCTCAACTGTAAAATGAGCTGGAGAAGGAAATGGCAAACCACTCCAGGAACTTTGCCAAGAAAACCTCAAATGGAGTCAGAGTCAGACACGACTAAAATAACTGTACGATAACAAAAAAAACAGAGGTAACAAACATGTCAGATGTGAATTTAAGTCAACTACACAAACATATGCTGTACTAGTGTTCTTTTAACTGATTCATTCACTTCCCTTCTTGCTCTAAATCTAATGCTCTCTGACCAGGAACTTAAAATTCACTTCCTTGGATCCTGGTTACTTTTTCACCTCCTCACCATCATGTATTCATTTACTCAACAAACATCTCTTATAACCTTTGTGCCACGTCTCAGAGTAGATAAAAAGTTGAGTTAAGACTGTCTCTGTTCCCAGGGACTTCATAGTTTTGCCTAGGAATAAGACACATAGACAACGATACCACACAACCTTTCAGGACAAGGACAGCAGAGATCCAGAACCCAGTTAGTGAGGTGAGGAAAGAGGAACTTCATTGCCAAGCAGTGGGACCTGGGATGGTCTTGTGGGGAGGTGTGACTTTATACTTTAAAGGGTCAAAATTCATAAGAACTCATGAAGGGAAGACCTGCTAGGCTCAGAACCCAGTCTGGATAATTAATAATAATGGGTGGATATGTAATAATAACTGAGGAAACAATCCAAGCTATACAATTTAGGAGCAAAAAGACATAATAAATGGGTCAATGGATTCCCTAGTCAGTCCAAAGACCCAGAATAGAGAGATTTTTATGAAGCAAAAAGTTAATCAATTAAGACCAATTAATTAAGTGGAAACAATTAAAAAGACACAAAAGTAGATAACCTGAGTTCTAACAGGAAGAAAGATTAGGGGCTTTCCAAGTTGGGGGGGTGGGGAAGAATGAGTTTCCATCTAGGTGGGAGGGGGGCAAGTAGGATTTCAGGTCTTACTTTTCCCAGAATTTAGGGATGCTGATTAATTGTATCCACCTGCATTTATGAAACAAAAGATAGCTTATACCCTCCAGTTTCCCATGGATGATTTTAAGAAAAACAGTAAGGTGGAGTATAATACAGGTGGATAATACACAAGATGGACTCAGTGTTTATGAGATACAATCTAACTGGCTCTCTAGATTCCCAAACAAAACCAGCTCCATTTCGTAGTATGTGTTTGTTCAATCCTCCCTTTTGATTAGTGAGAGAAGAAGTCAGTCCAGTCCCCCATGAAGCACTTATCTATAGGCCGTATCTGAAAGGTTTTTCCTATCTTCAGAATCAGAACTATGTCCCAGGATGTGTGAGCATCTCTCACATTTGTAGGGGGCTTTTAGGAATGTGTCATTCCAACAGTTCACAAGGAGTTTTACAATTCTGTGAGCCAGCACAACTTACCTAGGAAGTACCACACGCCCAGGATAGGGGATGCCACCAGCTGGTCAATGAGCACCTTCTTCAGGATGGTTCGAATGTCTTTAAATCCCATGGCGGGGAAGAGTTTGTCCAGCCACTGGTACCAGTAGTGCAGGAAGGGGCCCATGCTACAGCCCATGGCAAACATCCGTGCTGCAGGAAGAAACCGGAAAGGTGATAGAACCAGACAAGAGAACGGGAGCTCAGGGGGCTCCTGGGCTCCCTCACACCAGGGCCAAGCCTTGCCCTGAAAACGACAACTCTGTACTTTCACCAGCAGTCCCTCTGAGTGCTCTTGGGAAATGGGATGGGGGCGGTGCGGGACTGGAGGTTTAAAGGTAGCTAGGGGGTGTCTGAGGCCAGACTGGGACTCAGGTCTTCCCGACTCCAGGCGTGGCACTGTATCCACCCAGCTGCCTCCCGAGGAAGATCAGGAGGGGGGCTAAACTGGGGGTTGCGGTGAGGGGTTGGCAAGCTTCTGCCGCGTGTGACTTCTCCAGCTCAGGAATGGTGAGCTGGGCGAGGGGCTGCCCCTGTGCAGGCGTGGGCGTG